CTTTGAAAAGGGAACCACCTTACAAAACACAGGAAGAGTACTAAAGACTATTACTCTAGATAAAAATATTTGACTCGATGATTACAGGCAGAGGATTCTATAGCTGTAAGTCTCTCAAACATGTTTTGCTTAGTAATCCATGTATTTTTCCCTTTGCCTGGTACCATCTCTTTATTAGTAAAGTCGACAAATGAATGGTGGGGGGTGGGGGGAAGAAAAAACTCTCAAAACTTAATCAAGTTATTTTTGTTCTGAGTACTTGCCTGGACAGATGTATCTCATAATTAGAAAGCTGATCACTGGTGAGGAGAGATAAGTCTTCACCAAGAGAATCTGCCAAAGCCCTTAGGATTTATAATTCTAGAAAATAATGGCTAGTAATAAAAAAAAAAAAGAAATAGTAATCTAAATTTTTATTTTATCTATTACATCATTCCTGTTCATCTTTTTTTCCAATTTATTCTGAACCACCTCTGCAGAAAGAAATGCTAAATCATTTGCAAGTTCTGCATAGATATAGCTCACCTCCTAGCAACAAGGCTGTAGCTCAGGAAGTTGAATTGCTTATTTCCTTCCACCTACTTCAGGACTTAGTACAAGGAAGGATTGTTTAATGGTTTCTTTTTTCAGAGGGATAATGCAGGGTCATGCTGTACCAGGTTTCTAAGAGAAAACCAAGGCCAATAATATACAGAAGATAAGCCATATACCCCCTCAGAAACAAATATAAAGAACAAGAGAAGTGGCAATAGATCACAGATTTAAATAAATTCATGGAAAATGGAAACTGGATGAAGGAGTGGTGACTGGCTTAATTTAGTAGAGAAGGTGAATTCTAAACACCTATAGCAAGGCCAACAAAGAGAAGCAAGCCTATCCCCTCCATGCATTGGAATGCCCTATTTAACAGTCTTTCCCACAAGTCTATACACTCCTCCTGAAGGCAGGATGGAGTTTTCAATTCCAGAAACTCATAGGTTTGGTTGATAACAGGAACTCAAAAAGTATTTGTGAGTGAACAGAGTGAATGTATTAATTTGCTAGTATATCTAATGAGGTCTATTTACTTAATACAGCCTTTAAAATCATCTTCCATGTTCAAGATTTTCTTTGGGGAGTTAGCCTAACAGCACAGCTTTATTACTTATACAGAATTCATAATACAAACTAGCAATAGACAATAATAGTAAAGAGAAAAGTGTTAGCATAGTACAATATTTTGCTAGTTTTCTTTTGCTCCTATAGCACATATTCTAAACTTAGTGGCTTAAACCAATATAAATTTATTATCTTGCAGTTCTGGCGGTCAGAAGTTCAAACTACCTCTCATGAGTTAAAATCCAGGTATCAACAGTGCTGCATTCCTTTCTGCAGGTTTAGGAGAAAACTTTTCTCCTTGCCTTTTTCAGCTTCTAGAGCAGTGGTTCTCAACCTTCCTAATGCCGCGACCCTTTAATACAGTTCCTCATGTTGTGGTGACCCCCAACCATAAATTATTTTCGTTGCTACTTCATAACTGTAATTTTGCTACTGTTATGAATCGTAAGGTAAATATCTGATATGCAGGATGTATTTTTATTGTTACAAATTGAACATAATTAAAGCATAGTGATTAAACATAAAAATAATATGTAATTATATGTGTTTTCCGATGGTCTTAGGCGACCCTGTGAAAGGGTAGTTCGACCCCTAAAGGGGTCAAGACCCATAGGTTGGCGACCCACAGGTTGAGAACCGCTGTTCTAGAGGCTGCCCACATTCTCTTTCTCCATCTTTAAAGCCAGCAACAGGACACCCTAACCGGTTTGGCTCAGTGGATAGAGTGTTGGTTTGTGGACTGAAAGGTCCCAGGTTCGATTCCGGTCAAGGGCACGTACCTTGGTTGTGGGCACATCCCCAATAGGAGGTGTGCAGGATGCAGCTGATCAATGTTTCTCTCACATCGATGTCTATCCCTCTCCCTTCCTCTCTGTAAAAAATCAATAAAATATATATTTAAAAAATAAAAGATAAAAAAAATAAAGCCAGCAACAGGAAATGAGTTATCCTCTGTTGCATCTATCTGACCCTGTTCTATTATCACATCTCTCTCTGACCCAGCTATACAAGTGACTCTGAAATAAATATGTAATTAGATTGGACTCATCTACCTATCTGGGAAAAATCTCATGTCAAGATCCTTACTTTAACACAGCTGCAAGGCTCCTCTTCATATGTAAAGTAAAACAACCACAGTTCCCAGATTAGGACATGGACCTCTTTGGGGAGCTCTTATCTTGCCCACCACAAATATCTTCCAGGCAAGTACCATTGTGCTGAAGCAGGCAAATGTCCTCATCCCCTCTAAGAAGAACCCTGTTCCCCTGAAGCAAGTTCAGTGCCAGCCATTCTGAGCTTGGGTGGGAAATTCCTCTGTAAACTCAATCATAAGATACTACCTAGGGCAAGCCCCCAAAAGCCCCCTCTCCCTTACCAGGCTTTTTCTGACTTTACTCATTTCTTTCACAGGGGTCACCTGACTAACTGCTCACATCCAGGTGTGTCAAGCTTTTTCTCTTTTTTAGAGAGACAAAGACACTAACCATGCAGAACCGTGCTTCTAAAAAAATGTGGTGAAGGCTGAGAAAAAAAACGTAAATTAGCCCTCAGAAGAAATCCTTTCAGTTCATGTTTCATTAGGATGGTATCATTCCACAGCTAAAGGTCATTCATCAATCTAGTTTTTATTACAACAGTTTTCTTCTCAATTTAGTGATGATGATTTTTCTCACTTCTGCACTTCGTTTTTCTTTTTCCCCATCATTCAAAAGGGGCTCATGGCCTTTCATTTCTCTCTTCCATAGTTATTAGATACCATTTCTTTCACTCCAAACATTTCTGGGAGTGAACTCCTCTTCCCTCACAACCTGGCCTCCCTGTGTCTTTTGGCTTCTGTATTTCACAACTCCTCCTTGTATGGGACTGTGTTCAGACAAGCACTAGTTGGCCAAGTTACCATTACCATTCCAACACCATGATGCCAGCAGTTGAGAGAGAGCCCAAAACATTTATTAGCATTAACCTCTGAAGAAAGAATAACTGAGTGTTTTTCAAATAACTACATGCTTCTCTTGAGATTTGACTGTTTATTATAAATTAAGAGGTTATTCTTCTGATTCTTTGAGGTTTGAATATAGTAACAATAAGAGATCTTACATTCAATTTTTTCCAAAATATGTTATTCATATACAGACTATGTTGCACCTCAACTTTCTACAAAATCCATCAGTAACCATAAACAGTTAAACTAACATTTCCTGGGGACCAGAGATATGTGATTCAGAAATAAAACCTAACTCCCCTTACTTGTTATACTGCTTTCTTCAGGTAATCAAAATTATGAAATGCTGCTAACGGAAATTTCCATTTCTGGGAACTGGGAAACATTTGAAATATGGGACAAATCCTCATACCAGAAAGTTTTATTAAGAAAATTTTATGAAAGTATTTATTAAAATTCTAAATAATCACAAAAATCAGATATTAAGTGATAATCTGTGCAATGATGCTAAAACTTCCTGTCTAACCTTAGTGCATAAACTTTCTCTCCTTATCTACAAGTAGAGATTCATTCTTCCTTTCCCTGGCAGACACACAAGATCTGGGTGCTCCTGTTTTTAACCTCCCAGCTTTCCTGGGACATCACTACAAATTATATCTTCAATCCCCTCCCACATTTGTGTTAACCACTCTTTTCATAGGACATCCTCTTGTACATCATAACTAAGCCTCGGAAGTGACCAAAAATAATCTTATGAGCTCCACAGCTATACCACTTTCCCCTCTACTAACAATGACCTTGGCTTTCATTGATCAGGTTTTTATCTTCTTTCTCCCCAGGTACTGGAAGGACACAGGTCATCTACAAACCCTTGCTTGCCATTCTTCCTCTCCACTGGAGGTCCTCATGACCTACACTGCTTTCATTATAATCAGCACAAGGGTTATTCATGATTCCTGTCACTGATTATCACAATTTTGTTTTTCCTTCACCATCCCACCCAGTAATGTGTACTTCTATGTATTTGTCAGTGATTTTATTTCTGTCTTGTCTCAAGTTTTCTTCTTTGATCCAGAGCTTCCTATTCTATCACAGCTCCTACATTCATTCCTCAGAGTTTATACAGCTATTACTATAACATTACCCAGTAAAAAAATAATAGGCAACAATTTTGATAACAGCTTCCAGAACTTCATCATAAGGATAAAAATATGACCTGAGAAATATAAGGTTCCAATTGCTGTCAATGCCACTGGTTATATACAAGGATAAGGCCTCAGAAATCTATTTAATTTACTTCTGAGCAACAATTAGGGCATCTACAGAGTCAGTGAGTATCCTATCTTATTTATAATTGGCTTGCAGTAAGCAGAAAATATTTTAGTAAATAAGGCAATGCCTTTATAGGTCTTTTGAAATGCAGATCTAAAAAGCGATAACATTTATCACAAATATCTCCACCTCTTTTTATTTATTCGTGGATTCTTGGTTTGAAGACTTTAACATTAGTGAAAAACCAAAACAAATTTTTAAATAAAAGCAAATTGTTCACTACTATAAAATTCCTAGGAAACAATTGGTTTATAACCTATAGTACCCACCACTATGCCTAGCACTTAGTAAGCTCTCAATAAATGACTCTTGAATGGAATGGATGCATTAATGAATTCATGATGTGAAGAGAAAGTAATCAGACTTATTTCCATATACTGCACCTCAGAACATACATGCTGTTTCATAAATGAATAAGAACCTAGCATTTTGAAAAGAAATAGATAACTAAATGTGGATCAAGGTAAACCCAGTAGTGATGACACATCACCATGCTGTTTGGCTTCATTTTTCTTCTGCCTGTCACAGCTCCCAACCTTCCTGTCAGAACTCATTCTGTCTTCCTCACTGAAACTATTGTTCATAGTTGAGGTGTCTACAGAAAAACCATAAACAGGGGAAGCTAATAGGTTGTATTCATTCGTCTTGAAGACAGCTCCCAGGTCAGCCCTACTCCTTTCACCTCTACAAACTCTTCACCAACCAGCATCTCTCTCATCTCACCTTGAGGAAATGGCCCAATGAGGAATGCAATAGCAAGAGGCAAGCTAAGTACATTTCAATTCTTTCTGAGGTAACAGTCCTTTTTTCATCTTGATTTATTTTATTTTCTTTTTTTAAAATATATTTTATTGATTTTTTACAGAGAGGAAGGGAGAGAGATAGAGAGTTAGAAACATCGATGAGAGAGAAACATCGATCAGCTGCCTCCTGCACATCTCCTACTGGGGATGTGCCCGCAACCCAGGCACATGCCCTTGACCGGAATCGAACCCGGGACCTTTCAGTCCGCAGGCCGACGCTCTATCCACTGAGCTAAACCGGTTTCGGCTTGATTTATTTTCTTAACCTTAGCAAAGCAACAGAGCCAAAGCTGGGATTTACAGACTTGATATTCTATCTTACCTCAGGAATTGGCCCAGTTCTAGTAAGCTCTCCAGTTCAAGCTATGGTCTTTTCTGGATCATTCCCATTCTTTGCTCTTTTTAATTTATCTTTATTGCTTAAAATATTACAGATGTCCCCCTTTTTTTTCCATTGACCCTCTCCACCACACACCCACTCCTCCCAGGTTTTCACCCCACTATTGTCTGTATCCATGGGCTATGCATATCCTATATAATAAAGAGGTAATATGCAAATTGACCACCACACCCTTATACAAGATGGCCACCCGCATGTTACCCCAAGATAGCTGCCCCCACATGGTCACAAGATGGCTGCCCCCATGTCATAACAAGATGGCCACCACAAGATGGCCAGCAGGGGAGGGCAGTTAGGGGCAACCAGGCCGGCAGGGGAGGACAGTTAGGGGAGACCAGGCTGGCAGATGAGGGCAGTTGGGGGGGACTGGGCTGGCAGGGAAGGGCAGTTGGGGGCAATCGGGCCGGCAGGGGAGCAGTTAGGCATCGATCAGGCTGGCAGGGGAGGGGTTAGAGGATGATCAGGCTGGCAGGCAGAGGCAGTTAGGGGCAATCAGATAGGCAGGCAGGCGAGCGGTTAGGTGCCAGCAGTCCCAGATTGTGAGAGGGATATTCGACTGCTGGTTTAGGCCCGATCCCACAGTCTGGCCTAAACCGGCAGTTGGACATCCCCTGAGGTGTCCCAGATTGGAGAGGGTGCAGGCTGGGCTGAGGGACACGCTCCCCAGTGGACAAATTTTTGTGCACCAGGCCTCTAGTATGTATATAAATTCCTGGTTAATCTTCCCCCCTCCTCACTCTTGCCTTCCCTCTGAGATTTGTCAGTCATTCCCATTCTTGACAACACAAAGAAATTCATTTGACACAGCTGTCCAGGGATGTGAACCTGCTCTATGGAAAATATATTGGGTACAGTTAGACCAAGAATCCAAGATTCCCTATTATTGGATTCAAAAATCCCTTTGTCAATGGGAATAAGAAGGAGAGATTGGGGGGAGTGACAATATAACATGAGATGACTCTCCTCTTTGCTTCATACTGTGTCTGTGTCAACCCCAGATTCATATCAGACACTTAGGATAAGTTCCAAAGCAACAATTTTGATAACATAGCTTCCACAAGCTTCACCATAAGGATAAAAATATGACAGAAAACCACCTGCTTACTTCTTCTTCAGTCAATAAGTATGCATTCTATAGCCCCCATCTTGCCTATAATTCAGCTACATACTATAATAATATGGGAAAGATTAATAGGCATTTTCTATAAAATGACAATTGGGATGAAGGCGGTTTGTTTCAGTTTAGCTGTAGAGTCACCATCGCTTCTAGCTCATCAGAGAAGTAAAAATGAAAATACTTCTACAGCCTTTGAACACTAGCAAAGATCAGTTGGGTCAAGAGATACATGATTCACAGATTGCTAACTGCAGTTTTACATCTGTTTGAACACTCTAAAGAATATAGTAGGGATCATCCGAAGGACTTGTATGCATGCATATAAGCATAACCAATGGACATAAGACACTGGGGGTAGGGGAGGCCAGGGGATTGTCAAGGGCGGGGGGAAAAAAAGGAGACATATGTAATACTCTTTGTAATACTTTAAGCAATAAAAAAAGAGAATATAGTAGGGAAAAGTAATTGTCCCTGAGAGCAAGGTAAAATTGCCAGTATTTGATTGGAAAGGGACTAAGTTTCAATCAATGGTTGCTGCTGATCCCATGCTGGGAAGCAAGATGCCCAATGTATGAGACACTTGCTTCTTGTTATTCCCCACTGTCACTAAAGTACCCTGTTGACCTCTTTGGCCATGAGTAAGTCACCAGACCAAGTTCTCCCAGTTTTTCTTCATCTGGAAGGAAACCAGCTACAGAGCCTGGCACTTAGTATATTTCAAAGATAAAAGAATGAAGTTTGCCCGCGTGCCAGGCTGGGGACACTCACATATAAATTATGTTTCCAAATCAGCACTTTGTCCCAGTATCTACATGCCCTTGATTGTTCCTGACTTCTACATGTCAAATCTGGTGTGGCCTTACATGCCCTTGGGTGGTGGATTTTTCTACCACTGCCACAGCTAGAGCCTTTCAGAACACCAGGCCAAATCTGACCTAGTGAGTTGTTGTTCATGGAAAGCAATCATAGGTTTCTGAAGACAGAAATCATAAGTCCTTTTCTCTTTTTTTCTTTTTTTTAAATATATATATCTTTTTTATTGATTTCAGAGAGGAAGCAAGAGAGAGAGATAGAAACATCCATGATGAGAGAGAATCATGGATCAGCTACCTCCTACAAGTGTCCCACTGGGGACTGAGCCCACAACCCAGGCATGTGCCCCTGACCAGAATCGAACTTGGGACCCTTCAGTTCACTGGCCGACGCTCTACCCACTGAGCCAAACCGGCTAGGGCAAGCCCTTTTCTAATAACAGAATAAAGGAAGAAAGAACACTAGCATATCTTACATTAATGCAAGATTAATCTCCCTAATGAGCTTTGGGAAATGCTCCATCTACTCTTACTCGTCACACATTATGTGATGGCCATGGGAAAGAAGTAAAAAGTGATACCACATTCCTCTCGTTTGCAAGTGGCTCCCTAGAATTCTCTTTCACATGCTACTCCCAGATCTCTGTGGTCAGCCAATAATTTTTAATCCCACTCTTCAGTGGAAAACATACAACTCCCAGCAATATTTTATGCATGAATTTATATTTGCAAATATATTTGGTCTTCTATTATTTTATTACACACAAGATCCTCGTCAGAAAAGTTCTACTAGAATAAAATGCATCCAAAGATGTACAAATCTTACCTAAATCTCAAGATTAGTTCATTTTTTACAATGAGGACATGTACTTCTAAACCTTCCTCTTAAACTTTACTTAGGAAAAAATGCCCTCTCTATCACCAAATCCTTCCCCTTCTCATATACTGACTGGCATCCCACCTGGGATTTAAATGAAATATGGAGTGAGTACAGGTTTAGTGCTGCCGAGAAGGAAGTTCCTAGATCCAGAAGAGGTACCCAAGAGTGAAAATCAAAATTACCAAGATTCTTGTTGTTGCTACTGTGGTAATCTCAAGGTGACTCAAGAGGCAGTAGGCAACTGGATTCCCTGAGGCTGTCTGCTAACTAAATAGAAGCAAAGTGGATGTGGCAGGAGATGGGGTCAGGAGCGGACCAAGCTAAGAGATTTTGCTTTGCCTTGTAGGATATGGAAAACAGAGTTTCATAGTAATAATGGCGTTTGGAGAGGGATATATCCAACAGTGTAAAGACAAGAGGCTAATGATTTAAGAACATAAGACTTAGAGGGTGGCAGTGAAAATGAAAAGAAAAGGAAACAAAGTAAAGAACCATTTAAAATAAAATGCAATAGGACAAGGTAGTGAATAGGACTAACAGATGAAGACACTACTCCAGTATTAGAAATATAAAACTGGGAGTAAATTGGAAAAATTTTGAAGGAAGATAAGTTAGACCTGGGACATCATGATTTCTAAATGACTTCATCATGATGAAGGCATCTAAGTTGGCAGCTACAAATAAGTATCAAAACTCAGGTGACAATCTGGAGCTGAATAAGTGGAGGCAAGTGTTACCTACAGAGAGATGAGAATTGGAATCATAAAATAAACCTATTATCCAGTGAAGAAAGAAAGTATAGAAAGCAAATAACAGTCTTTAAAGCCAGGTTTAAGAAATGCCACCACCACTAGGCAAGAGATGAAAGGTAGGAGTGATGTATAAGATGGTGGCACCGATTCCTATGGAGGAGTTTAGAGACAATTAAACAAACACCACTGGATTTGGCAAGAAGACCACTGATTATCTGTCAGTGAAAACCTCATTCTTGCCTCATTCTTCTATATTAAAACACACACACACACCATGGTAAATCCTGAACCCAAGGCAAATACTAGTACTTAGCAGGGCAACTTTCAGACACTTTCCTTCTGTCAGTTCTGTAAACTTAGAGACATAATCAGGTCACTTAACAAGTAGGCACTAGCAGGGCTCAGAGGCCAGCTGAGCATTTTGAAGCAGCCTGCTGGCTCGGCTGCACTTTTTACCTGCAGCTGAAGTCGGAATCAGTGGCTATAGCCTGGGAAACGCCTACCCTTGGTATCTGCCTTGGTAATGCAGGCAACCTTCCTTGGGAGGCCTTCAGCCACTCTCTATAAGTAAGGATCTTTGGGGACTTGAGTGGGTGATTTATTGATGGGTTGGTTAAATGTTGTCTTATTTTGTCCTTAAAGAGTTGTTGTTGTTTCAGAGGAAGAAATCTTTCTCAACAAGTCTGATGGAGCAATAAATACTGGACGTCTGTGTGTTGTGCCATGGGCAGATCAGATACAGAAAACTTTCAGCTTATGAATGAGATCCATGATGCAGAGAGACAGTTATCACAAGCAGCATCACATGGGTTGCCAGGTCAGAACCACTGTAGACCAAAGCCAAATCCCACTGGGCCTAGGCAAGTTGAGACCGCCAAGCAGGGCCAGGGACTGCGGTACTGAGGTACTGAGGTAAGTCTATGTGTGGGAAGATTGGAAGTGACCTGAAGGAAGGTGAGCCTCAGAGGCTTCATAACCTTGTGGGAGTTTTTTAAGCAAGGCTTACAAGCTGCTGGCATAGGCACCTCGGTAAGTTAAAGGAGCCAACACATAGCATACACTTTCTCTTATGTACAAGAATTTTTAAAAAGTCTGTCTCATTCAGTTTTCCTCCATATGTTCCTTGTACTTCACACCTCCTTGCTGAGATGGTTTTTGTCTCATCGTTCATTGTTTCAAAATATGATGCTTCTCCAAATTTTGAAATTGCCCCTATTTCCAAAACTCCCCCAACCCAGTTCACCCTTCCATCAATGACACTGGTCAGACTCCCATAAGCCTTTGATTGATTTCTAAATGCTGTTCCTGGCTCTCATCTTCCTGTGATGAAACTGAAACCAGCTAGTTACCGATGACAAGCAGCTGACTCTTTACCAATAAGCACAGCCCCCAACCAGCAAAGACACGCAAGAGCAAATTTGATGGCACAAAGAAAATGACATCCTACCATAAGCATCAGGATTGCCACTTCAATGCTAAAGACAAATGGGGCATTGCTATTAGGACACCACCCTTGCAAAAGGACCCACTTTGGCACCTATGTCACCACAGAAAGACTAACTAGCTGAGTTAAAAGCAGATTCCTGCCTGAGTCACTAGCCAAACAACACTCTTAGTCCCTGGAAACCACAACATCAAGCACAACAAATCCACTGTTTCCTTAGCAGTGGTCGGCAAACTCATTAGTCAACAGAGCCAAATATCAACAGTACAATGATTAAAATTTCTTTTGAGAGCCAAATTTTTTAAACTTAAACTATATAGATAGGTACATTGTTATTAACTTAATTAGGGTACCCCTAAGGCTTAGGAAGAGCCACACTCAAGGGGCCAAAGAGCCACATGTGGCTCGCGAGCCACAGTTTGCCGACCACAGCTTAGGGGACTGTTTTCACATTTATGGTGTGTTTATTTGTTTTAACTTAAGGGTTCTTTAAATTTTCTCAACTCAGGGCCTGTGTAGATGTACTATATCCTCTGGTTTATAGTTTACCTCTGCCTACCTGCCTTAGCACATAAACTGCACTCACATAATGTTTTGGAACATTAGCAAAACAATCTTGGACACAGGGAACTTCAACACAAACCTTGCTTCCTATTTTACCAAGATGGCTAAAGCCATCCTAATGTTCCTTGTCTACTATTTAACTTCAACACAAACCCATGTGTTCAAAAACAAGCCAAAATTTAAATTACTCAAAAATATTTTTAAATGTACCTGAGTGCTTAAAAACATAAATAAACTGAGCACACACTTCTGCATTTCGGATCCAGATTAACATGTGGCTTGCTCAGCCCACTTCTGCCTTCTCATGAACAACCAAGTCTCTAGACAAAAGTTATTACTGTATAAGTATTCTGTGGTTACTCTGGCTATACAAGAAAAGCCAATTGCTGGCAGCAGAAACCAAGATGGCAGCATAGGTAAACACCTGAAATTGCTGCCTCTCACTACCACTTCAAAAATACAACTGAAAGACAAAATGGACATCATCCAGAACCACAGGAAGTCTGGCTGAGTGGAAATTCTACAACTAGAAGGAAAGAGAAAAGCACACTGAAACTCAGAGGAGGTGAGGAAGTAAAGTGCAGAGGTACGGAGGCGCACACAGAAAGGGCTGGCAACTGAGGACGCGGTTGTCTTTTTCAATTAGGAGGGAGACACAGGCTCCCTCTCTGAACTCCAGTTCTGGGCAAGTCTCTGGGGACCCAGACTCAAACTGGGAGAAACTGGACTGTCTGTCAGCAGGCGGAACTAGAGGGCAGCTTTCTCTCAGAGGTGCTTGCAGCGATTACTGCGGGACACTGAGACCCAGTGCCTCTTAGGGCAGGACTGAGGATCAGCCATAGCGTTTTGCTCCGCCCTGTTGATTCCCTGAGACCCCGCCCCACCCAAACTGTGTGCAGAGGCTTTTGCATATGAATGACCTGGCCCTTTGCAATCTAAAATTACCTAACAAACTGCAGCTGGGTCAGAAAGACCCAGAACATCCAAAAGAAGGCCCAAGGCCCCACAGCAG